GAACCTCGAAACTTTTCCCTTCAGAGCAGAATGGTCCACGAACATCGGTGTCAATCGACCGCCTCAAAGTGGCTTCCTTTGACGAACCGCGTGCAACCCATCCTGATGCTATCACACAAACACCTGCACCTCCGGGGACTTCCTGAGCAATGGATACCCCGAAACCCTCCGTTCCCCTGGGCCGTCTAACTAAAGTGCCTTAACCTCAGGCGACCGACCAACGCAGTAGACAGGTCCAAGGTCTAGTGCGTTTCCCAGCGTTGGTAAGCTTTTGTTATTACCATTGACACGTCTGTTTCGTCTTGTTGGTAATCGTGCAATACACTCACCAACATTTACAAAATCGACCAGCGAACCCCGAAGGCTTTTGAAAACCTAAAAGCGTATTCGTTTTTATTATGCATGCCATTTTCCCTCCCCTGCATCACGCCAATTTCCCTACCTTTACCCACCCATTGCCTTCTGCCTTCATTGTGGTTAACGTCCCCACCACAAACTGCACCCCTGTTTCCGTGAAAGATGATTTCTCTCACCGATTTAACGATCTTCGTTACAGAAGAAGCACGGACACTGTGTTGCTTGCTGATGAGCTAAACGCCTATGCAAAAGATTGTCTTCTGCTCAGCCTTATCTGGGCGGCCAATACAGTGTAGGCTCCTGTAATGATAATGGTGAGCGGTTGTTACACCTGTTTGAAGGTGCTCGTCTTTTTCTCAGTAGCACTAACGTTCGACACAGCACCCGCAGTGTCATGGCGCCCATCAGCATTTGGCCAGCCTCTGACGCAAATCGATCACATCACAATTAGTTACCGCTAGAGCGACTGCGTCCAAACCTGTCTCTCGATTTGCAGCATCAGCGTGGACTCCGATCAGACCATTGTGTCTGTTGGTCTGCGGGTGCGTTTCGGCGGACGTCAGCAACGTTGCTCTAAACTCATTGACACCAGCGTGTTCTGAATGCGTATCACACAACGATAGCATCTGGACTGAGTAAGCATCCACCGAACACCGTCGAAAATCACTGGTCGCATATTCGTCGAAGGTTACTTTCAGAAGACATGTCCATGTGGCAAATCTACGTGCCAATCTAGGCTAGGAGCCTCTACAAAGTCTCTGGAACTTATGGATTATCGCTGAGGTATTCCGGCTAGAAGCGAATACACTGAGACACGCAAAAATCTCAGGACAAAACTACCTGCTAGCCTGAAGCGAAACCGCGAAGCCTGTGGTCTTATAGTGCATCGGAAATGGAAACAGCCGCTGCCGTTTGTAACCGTCGTACGTTATTCCTTCTGACGCGGGAACTAGGCAGCAGGAGACTTGGTAATAACGAGAAAATACACGACGAGAGTAGACAGCTGATCCAGAGCTTGGAAAAATGCTTGAAGCGTTGAGCCAAACACTTTGCAAGGCAGTTTAACCAATCTGACTTTTTGTTTTTTCGGGCATTGAGTGCTCTTTTTCAATTGCCGACTCCTGCGACCCACCCTCGCGCGCAGAACTCAAACGGGAGATTGGACTGCTGAAATTATTTAAGGCTGATTGTGCAGATAGAATTCCCACAGCTCTCTACAAATTCGGTGTACTTGCTTTTGTGTATGGTTTACACGAGATGCTGATGGAACTTTGGGAGCAGGATACTGTTCCGACAGACTGGACTCGCTGTGTCAAACTCACAATTTAGAAGGGTGACTCCCATTTCGGGATGAAGCAACCATAGATGGCTCAGTCTGACCTCAATTGCTTCTAGATTTCTTACCCTGTCATTCTCCACAGAAAGACCGGTGCTCCTGTAGATCCGATCCGCGAAGAGCAAGCCGAATTTCGTCGAAGTCGAGGATGCATCGACCGCCTCTTCCTTTTGAGCCAATTGTTGGAGCACCGCTATGTTTATTGGCGACCCACCGTTGTCGTGTTACACGACATCAAAGGTGTGTTCGATTCGGTGGATATATGTGACCTGTGGGATTGTTCCCTAAGAAAAGGTGATCCCGAAAACTATGTGAGCCTGATCAAGACACTGTGCGCGCATAGTTCGGACAGAGAGAGGGTGTATGGCAAACTGTCGCCGGCATTCAGGAAATCCAGCGTTGTGAGAAAAGGTTGTCCGTTGTCACTTTTCCTCTTTACTCGCGCTATTGACGGAGTCATGGAAACTGTTTACTGGACACGACCTAGATGTGCAGGTACTTCCTGGTGAGTGACTGCTTGACTCGGAGCATGCGGACGACATTGCCCTCATAAGTGCCAGCGCCCAACCGAGCCAGGTTGCACTGGACCGATTCGCACTAACTGTCACTCGTTTTGGGCTGTCCTCTGCCAAGTCGAAATTCAATGATCCACTTCTGCACTGCCCTTCGGTGGTGATTAGCTAGAAGTCGTTCAAGAATTCAAGTACATTGGCAGCTATATTAACGCCCTTCGTATCGAAGTTGAAATCACGAACGGTATAGCAAAAGCTCGAGGTGCTTTTGTAAATCTCCGCCACCCGTGGCGCAGACGCGACATCACCCTCGCCCCGAAGGGTGGAGTTACTAATGCAGTCGTCGGTTCAACCCTCTTATACGGTTGTGAAATCTAGCCCATCAGGTCGACAGACATAAAGAGGATAGCCAAGTTAGATCACCGCTGCCCACGCAGCTTAGCTCATGTCTGGCAGGAGCACCGCGTGAGCAATGAGCCTGTTCGGCGTCGCATATTTGGTGCAGTAGGAGCAGTGAACCGCTCAGCACTATTATATTACGCACCAGGCTTCGGTGGTTTGGCCACGTGTTGCGCCTGCCAGCACACCGACTCCCGCAACGTGCATTGTTTGCGCGCCTGGGGTGTGGTTGGAAGAGCAAGAGGGAGGCCAAGCGATGATTTGATCCATAGATGTAAAAACCCTGACTTCGAAGTTGGCGTTGGCTGATGCATCCCGACTGCCTGGATGGGGGTCCTAAGGACGATGAACAGATTTGGTTGGACAAACACTGATATGGCAAGGCGTCTTGTGAGTTCCATTGTCCATCCTCAGCCAATCGCAACCTCATTCATTAGGCGTAGTATAACTAATTTTGCGTCACGATAGCCGGCTATTAGCTCTCCGGAACGATGTTCATCCGTTACTAATGTAGCACACGACGTGCGTCGGTTGTTTTCTCCTTGTCTTTTGTATTGGAGCGCAACAGCTTCTTTGTTTTCCACCTACAGCTAACGTTTATAATAATGATGTTAGTCTGTATATTAGGTTATATAAAACATTTGGGTAAACGTAAAATATACAAGGAATGCTCCACGGGTAGTAGCAAATGGTAACGAACTCAGAAAAGCGTACTAGTGGTTCACTTTGCTATCACTTCGCATGTCAGGGTGGGTGACGGGATAACGTCGGTTGATGACGTCGGTACGCCAGAGCAGAGTGTATGGTCTAGGGTTGCACAATGGCTGTAATAGCGCTTGTTGCATCGAAGAGTCAGATTTGTAGAAAGATGCTGGCTGAGTAGATGGAGGCCCTTCGTACCGGTTTAAACACAGTGACAAAAGGGAAAGGTATAGTAGCGTCTGCGTGAACCAATAAGCAGGTTGGAGTGGCCGGCGTACGCTGTCAATGCGAACGAACACGTGCGTGCAAGTAGTTAAGTGTTCGTCCACGTTGGTACATAAGCTCTGCGCTCTGCATTGCACAGGCTGAAAGTGTCTCATATGAGGAGGTAGGCGAGCTTCGTTGTCTCAATGGTTAAATTTGTGGG